AACTGCAAAGAAATGCAAGCCAAGTCGTGTTTTGATGATTGAGCGGTGATATTCATAACATCGTAGTTAGCAACAAAATTTAGTCGAAAGTATGAAAAAGTTGTGAGCCATTATAATTATAAGATGGCTTTAATAAAAACATCGGTATTCACGTACGCCAATTCCCTATCCACACCTTCCCACTATCCATGCCATTCCTTATTTTTTAGTCGGGATCATTTGCGGTCCCTATCGGGGATCATTTCCGGTCCGGGATCATTCGCGGTCCAATTTGGGGATCATTTGCGGTCCGGGATCATTTGCGGACCCGTACAGGGAAGCAACGAGGCAGTCATGACAGCCATATTGGTGAAACACATATTTGCTTTCGTACTGGTAAGTAATCATAGCTTTATTTACTATAAGCTTTTCCATCGGAATTCTTCAGCAAAAAACACACACATCAATCATAGCGGCCGAGATATTGTAGTGTCACCAAACCATTTTTTCGAGACTTTGGAGAATCGCTCGAACAAAAGCTGCACAAAATCAGCAATCAGAGGGCAGATCAAGGGGAGGGGCCTGGGGGGCCCGGTCCCCCTACTTATTCTGGGTGAAAAAAGAAGAAATGACTGAAGGAAAAAAAGCCGGTAGGGCAAGTAAAACAAAACCGGGCCCCCACCTTAGCTCAAAGTCTGGATCCGCCACTGACAATTAACATACCAGAAAACAATCTCTTGTTAAAAGCTCCTTGACACATTAGATCAACAACATTTAATGTTTAATCGAGTTTATAACGACGAAGCTGGTTTGGAAGTTTAAATTACAATGAAAAGGGAAAATATGACTTCATTATCCTCGGCAAGGGAAAGAAATGCTGATAATGTTCCAAGAAGGACCAAATGAACCTCGTTTCTTTCTCTTTTGGAATTTTTTTTTGTAAGGATAAAATTATAATCTGCATTTATAAACCGTTAATTGAAGATACAATTATGGTTACCGTTGTCAGTTTGTAGAAAACTTGCTTGTAAACAAACATTTAACGGAATATAAGATTCTACGTGTGTGCCACTTCATTAGCCTTGGCAAGTTCCAGAATTTTGTAAGAGGGAGAAAATATACCTTTTTTTGTGGTCTGCTAGTTAAATATTTGTAGTGTGGCTTTTATTAAAGTTATTATATTGAAAAAACTATTTTTTGTTTCTTTAACAAACAACTATAGTGAGGCTAACACTCCATTAATAAAAGCCAAACCTCGTGGTTACCCTAAAATAAATATGTTACCAGTCTGACTAGATATACTGGGAAATGGAAAAGTTGGCTCTAACAAGTGTTGATACAATGACTTTCTAACACTTTTAGCATGTTTCAGAAGCAATGTCATTTTTCTACCTTAACAATAAGTACTACACTGCTAAACAAAGTCAGGTTGCAGGGGACAGTCCTGAACTGGTTCAAAACATAGTTGTCTAGTTGCCGGGTAACTCAAAGCTCTTGTTTAGGACGTCTACTATTTATAATTTTATTTACTCATCTCAGTTGTTCGATGTTATAGAAAAACACCTGTCACATGTGCATTGCTTTACTGATGGCACTCGGCTTCATTTAAGCTTCAAGCCAGATGGCAAAGTCAGTCAAGATGTTGGAGTGAGGGCTATGGAAAGGTGTGTTGCAGATACTCGAAGCTGGATGATTGATGATAGACTCTTACTTAATGATGACATTGGTGATAATGACATTACTCTGTTGCCTGTCCTTGAAATTTAGGATTCTGCTTTGATGAAAAAATGTCCATGAATACACATATCACCAAGGCATGCAGGAGTGTGCTCTTTCCTTTACACAATATTAGAAATGTCGAGAAATACTTATCTGAGGATAGTCTTTGTACAATGTTCTATGCCTTTATTACTTCTCGATTCAACTATTGTAGTATTGTAATGTATGGACTTCCCAATGCGCAAATTTCCAAGCTACAGCGTGTCCAAAATGCATCCTTTATCTACTTAATATGGACATACCTAAGTACTTAAAAAATGCCAGCTCTCTAGGAACTTCATTGGAAAGCCATTGCTTATCGAATTAAATTTATGATTCTTAACTTTACCTTGAAATCAATTTATGGACTAGCATCATCTTATCTTAGTGACTTCATAAACGCTAAGCAAAAGAGCTCATGCTCGTTACACTCTAATAATAGCCTACTGTTAGAAGTTTCACAGGAGGCAATGTACCCAACACTTCAGTGGCGGATCTAGGGGTGGGGTCCAGGGGCCGGGGCGCTCCCCCTTATTTTGGGTAAAAAAAGAAGAAATCACAGAAGGAAGAAAAGCCGGCACGGCAAGCAAAACAAACCCCCCCCTTAGCTCAAAGTCTGGATCCGTCACAGCACTTGGCAGGGGCTCTTTTACTTTTGCTGCACCGGCTCTTTGGAACAGCCTCCTGGCTGACCTGTGTGTTGTCACACCACTTTTAAGTGTTTTAAAAGCCAACTTAAGACATTTTTGTTTAGGTCAGCATCTTAATGCATTTTTAATGTATTTCTTTGCTACTTCCCATTTATTAATAACTTTAACGGTATATAGTTAGTCTGTGATGAATTTATTGTAGAGCGGTAATGATCAGTGTATGTAAATAATA